CCCGAGATTGAAATGTTTTCTACCTTTTCGACCAGAACGACAGCCGCACAGCTGGACGCGACTGCGCTGCACTGCTGCGACTTGGGTTTTCATTGCCTGGCACTACAGCCAGCAGTCGCAGCAAATCAATTTGAAAGAGATTTTCATTTGATTTGAGTCGTTTTTCCCTTCCCTACCCTGCCTCCCGCTTCCACTATCAGCGAGTTCTCTCTGGGTTTTGCTGCCTGAAATGCAATAAAAACGCGGGCTGTGGTTAGGTTTACATTTGACTGGCATTGCTGTGGCGTGGTGTGGTCCAACTCGGAGTCCGACTAGCGATCGTATCTAGCCAGATATGTCGGCCCAAACAAGTTGAGTTGTCAACGCAGCTCCGCAGGCAAGTGAAGTGTCGTTGAGTTATGACGGTCCCGTCCCGGTCCCGATCCCCCGATCCCCCGATCCACGTCTACGTCTTTTTATGACTTTACTGAAACATTTGCCTAATTGATCGCATTAACCAAATGGAAAATGTAGTTTGTACACTGGGCATTTGTAGGTTGATCTCTTGGGTGATCCTTGGCCAATCGGTAAAAGGCAATCCACTGAAGGAAAAACTTGAACTTGAGATATTTCTCTTTTTCCAATTAGCCGAAACTTTCTTAAGCCCAAAGTTAAGCTAACTCCCAATCCAATCATCGGATATTCACCACAATTTGTTGGAAACACACACACAGACACTCGCCGGCGATCCGGCAATTGCCACTCTTATTACTTCACTTGACTTCACACCAATATACATTTATAAATACAGCCAAAGCGTAGGTTGTGGCAGAAGGGGCATGGTGATTGTGATTGGGATTGGGTATTGGGTATTGGGGGAACGAAATACCTTCGAGCCGTAAATAAGCAACTCAATGGGCAGCGAACGCCAGCGCACGTGCCTCATAAACCACCGGGCGAGGTCCAAGCCACAGTCAAAGTCGAAACCGAGCCGAGTCCGAGTCCGAGACGACTCGAGTGGAGTCGAGTGGAGTGGAGGACCACCCAGGTAACGATTTGTGCAGTCATTCCACGAATTCTCGGACCAAGGGGGCGCTTTTGTGGCGAATTCTAGACATATGGCGAGGGGGGGAGTAGGTGTGGGTGTGGGTGTGGGAGGAGCTGGGGTACCATTTCACATTTCACCAGCCTTAAGTATGCTAAGGATGTCGCTGCCTGCGTCATGAGTGTAGGGTCTGTTCCCTGTATCCCCTCACCACCCTCCCCACGCTCTGTGAGCATTGTCAAACTCAAAATTATGCATGCGTCTCCAAAGATATGTAAATTACCTCTCCCTCCATATCGCCATCGAGCCTTGGACCTGGGCCCTCAGTCAAAGCGAAGCACGCCCACACAGTCGCAGTCGCAGTCAAAGTCGGATTGTCATCGTGCCTCCTCGGGTAATCGTAGTCGGGGAAGCGTACGAAATTAATTTGACAGCCAACGCAAAACGCATGCATCGTCAACATTCTTCTGGTACCTACACCCCTTCCCTGCGCCCTCATCTTCTTATATCCACACAACTCCATCGAAAGCGACGTCGACACTCCGACAGACCCAGTGACGGGGTTCCATGCTTATCGCCTTACTTTTATATCTATCTTAAGCTTGTTGTTGCCTTTTCCTCTCTCCGATTTCTGGGGTCTCTCCGCTTCGTTTCGTTTCGATCTCTCTCTCTCTCTCTTTCTCTTATTGTCGTTATCGTCGTTGCAGTCACATTAACACATCCCGACTTGGAAATGGGTTATGCGCTGAGCTTAACTGATGTCAGAGGACTGGGGATTACCAGAGAATTAATGGGTGAGGGATTTGCAGCTGCAATCGCAGAGATTGAGTGAGATCTGAGACCATGTGGGAGGTGTTTATGGGAAAGAAAAGGATCGGATATAGTATGTTAAGGAAAGTTATGATAATTTTTGGCTAAGCTTCATTAAAGGAAGTCCATGCCACAGGGATTAGTTCTATTAATTACAACAACAGAGACCACCCGCCTGGCACTTTCAATTCCATCTGGAATGGACTCCTCGCTGGAAATGTCGTCACGCGTAGGCTTTGCCAAATGATAACCAAAAAGCCATCGATCCCTAGGCATCGCAACCTAAAAAAAAAGGCCCACGAAAACAAAATCCAAAACCCAAGGAGGGCGAGGTATGGAGTGGCCGAGGGAAAAAGAGAGATAGAGAGAGAGCGAGAGATGGAGCGAAACAGAGTTGAAAGCCTGACAGGACCACACAAGAAGCTGGAAAAGCCCACACACAGCGCATCAGGAGGGGGTTGCGGTTGCCATTGCCGGCTGCCAGTTGCCAGTTGCTGTTGGACGGGGCGGTTGATTACATGAACAAACGAACCGAACCGAACCGAAGGCTACCTCGGCACCAGTCCCCAGACCCAGACCCAGTCTCCAGCCACCAGCCAGACCCCAGTCCCAGTCTAAGTCTCCGTCTCAGACCCAACCGCAAAAGCCGACGCCAAGATAACGAGTTAACCAAAACAACAACTACAAAAGCTACAGAAAAAGCAACAAAGAGCAAACCACACACGCCATCCATTCCATCCATCCCCGTGCACATCCCAACGCAGAGGAATTGAGACTTGGGCGATCTGCTGCTGAGGCTGCTGCTGCCGGCCTACGTATTACCGGTGGCAAATAGTAATTATTACATTAAATGCACCGCAATAATGCAGCCCCGCAACACAGCAACAACAAAATCTGCACTCCCCTGAGCTTCCCTCTTCGTGCAGTCAGAAAAGCTTTCTGGGCGAATGCGAATGCAGTTAAACTTTAAGTGGCAGAGCGAGCGATCGTCACCTGGGATGGCAACAGGAAGATAGACCACGCAGAAGAGTAAACACCCAAGAAGGAGGAGGCAGAGATGGAATGAAACCCACCGCGCAATGTAGTAATGTTAATGGCGTTATAGGCCAATGACAAATGCAATTGCATTTGTATAGATGGCTGGTCGGCTGAGGAAGGAGTCCGCTCGACGAGGGACGGGATATCAAGTGGAGGTCTAGGCAACGCTGCACTATAAATTAAGACATTATACGATTAAAAACAAACAGCCTGTCGTTAAAGTCGCAGAAGGAGCGACAGAGAAAGCCGGAGAGTGGAAAGAAGAGATCAGGGTTAGACTCAGGCTCAAGCGTCATAGTAAACAGACGAGACCGATAAAATGAAATCATTCATTCCTAGTCATAAGAACAAAAAGAAAGAGAACATACATACATATGTATGTATGTACATATGTATAATATATAATATACATATATAATATATAATATGTATAATATATATTTTAATGCAATTATGAATGATAAATAATAATCGATCAACCCTGGATCAAAGCTCGCTCCGCAGGCTGTAAAAATATATATCCAAACTACAACTCCAGCCATAAAAACCGACTCTGTCTCCATCTCTGTCTCCTTGGCTCCCTCTCCAACTACAACTCCAAATGAAACGGCAAATGAAGCTCTCAAAGCAAACTCCTCTCAACGTTGGTGGTCCAGTGGCAGCTGCCGCTGCCACACAGGCGCAGCCCACTTTAGGTGTATGTGTGTGGCCCTCTCTCTCTTGCGTTCGTTTTCTCTCTCTCTGGCTCTCCACAGTGGCTATAAGTGAACATTGGGGGATTGGAGCTGCTGCTGCAGGCGATTGAGCGAAAGCAAAACAAAATGCAAGTCATTGAGAGCAAAAACTGAAGAGCGAGCGCTCTCAGCATGTGTGTGAGTGTGTATAAAGATGGCGCAATCTTCAGAGAGTAAAAGAACGCAAGAGAGAGAGAGCAATGGATATGGCTAAAATATGCAAGCCGATGCTGCTACGGCAAAAAAATGCCGCCCATGTCGCCAAAAAGCGCCACACGCAGACCAAATGATAGAGAGCGGGAGCGCGAGAGTACGTTTGATGAGAAACCAAGAGCCAGCCATTCCATTGATGCAACGCTCAGGTGAGTGCGCTGGAGAGAGATGGAACATCAGAGAGAGAGAGAGAGATAGTGGGGCAGGCAGAGGCAACTGCAGCGTGTGCGCTGCCCCTCATCAATGTTGTCTGCTGTTGTTGTTGTTGCCGCTGCTTTGACTCTTTGATTGTAATAGCCCCCCGCTTGGTGGTGGGTCTCCATCCACATTCACATCCCATCTCCGGCCATCACTTCATCTCTCTTTCTTCCTCCTTCGACGGTCCATGACGCTGCAGTTGCATTCGAATTGGAATTCCGAGGCAGATTCGAGCGCCAATTTTTTTGCGGTGGATGTTTTTTGTTGGTGTTGTTTTTGTTATTGTTACTGTTGGAAACCAGCGGGGAAGTCGTGCACTGTGTGGTTATCATTGCGGGGGGAGGAGATGGCAGAAGGGGTACTAGCCGTGTAAAAGATACAGTTTCATTCATAAATTTTAAGACGATGTGCCCTGTGTGTTGTTCGGCTGGTGTTCGAACAAAAAATTTTCAACGGGAAGTGATTCTAAAATGAATTCAATATTTTCATGATAGTTTAATATTTAGTACATTATTATTTTGTAATTTTTGGTGGGATGTTTTTAGTTTTATTATTATTGTTTATTGCTATCGTCCAAAATTAGTATACAAATTACTGCGATAAATTATGGTCCGGTGTGGTCCAAAAACACTCGGACACAGTCGCGATAGGAGAGGGGGATCAGATGATGCAAAAACAAAGCGAATAACAAAAACATCCTGTTTCATTATATAGTATTAAAAGACCATGCAAAAAACAGACAGCGAGGCAAAAAAACAGCAACTGCAAAGCAAAGCTAACAAATTTGCCAGCAGTTCACACAGCCAGCGCCAAAGCCTGCCACGCACGCGCTCCCCACCACTACATAAGCAAAAGTTACAGACAATAAATGCTCCTCTCTGCTGCTCAGCGCCAACGAACGTCGACGCTGAAGGCCGCGGCAACAAACCAGGGGGGGAGGAGAGTTGAGAGATGAAACCCGGTCGCGCGAAGACCACCCACAATGCCGGTCGTTGAGTTTAATGAAGGCAACAACAACAGCAAAAAATGTATTTTTGGGTGGTCCGCTACAACAACAATCAAAAACTTTTGGGTGGTCGTCTCAACCAACAATAGAAATTAGCGAGCAGGCATACTGCCGCCCCTGTGCCGCCCCTCTGCCACCCCTCTGCTTTGCCACTGCTCGGTTTCATCAGTGGGTGCATATGGTATTCTTGATTCGCATGAAATTCCGATTGGATTTATCCATGTCCGACTACTCCAAGTCAGTTCAATGCCTTAAATATCTGTAAAATAAATATCTTAGTAACGAAGTATACATACACAAATGAGCGAACCATTACAATTTTATAAAAAGATGTATTTTAATCGGATCGTCTCTCAACATTCAAACAGTCCATAAACTAAAATAGATGTTCGCTAAATCCCATTCGGTATTAGTCAAGACAAATCTCTCGATCTACCCTCGCACTGTTCATTCTCAAATCAATTTTTTGAAGATATTTGGTATATTTACAGTATGTTTTGGAGAGGAAAGGTATGTTTTGGTATATTTTCGAGGGTCTGCCCGTATATTCTATCGATAATTCCGCGGTCACACTGTCTGAGAGACACTCTCTCAAAACGCTCGGGGCCTCTGAATGTTGCGGAGAAACCCTTATTTTGTAAAAAATCCAATAAAAGAGAGCCATGAAAACTGGTAAATCTTGAGGAGAATTCCTTCCTTAGTCAATTAAAATTATAGTTTTTGTGTTAAGAGCTCTAACTAGCTGGTAATATTAAATGGAAGATCAAAATCTAGGAATAGTGTTTTTAAGTGTGAACGTATATTATTTTTGGTATATTTCTGTGGGACTCTGTGCTCATATTGATCAAGGGTATTTCTGTTTGTAAGCTGGCTTATTTCGCGCACCTTTTATGCGCACGTTCACAATAAGGCAATATTCCCCATTCACGATATGACAACAAAACCAAGCCAGTATGGTTTCTACCGCCACATTGAATCCATTGAATCTATTCGTAAATAAAATGAATAACTTTTTGAACCGAGCGTGAATGAAAATGTCGACCGCGTCGGACACACCAGAAAAATAGTGTAGAATTTGTGAATTCAGAAAAGTACGTTGATATCACCTACAAAAATATGATTAAAAAATAATAATAATAAGTATATTCAACAAACACAAATTTCTTGGCCGCGAAGCAACAAAAACCCGAGAGAGAGAGAGAGAGAGTGAGAGAGCAAGGCAAAGAAAACGAGCTGCAAAGAAAAACGTGAGGCGTCCGTTTGTCGCGTACGCGCTTTGCTTTTCCATGTGTAAATGATGTGTGAAAAATTCATCGAATTTCCCAACAAAATGTGCCCAAATGGCCGGCCGTGAGTGAAGCAAATCCGTAGATAAAACCCGATATTCGATCTAACCAAAATCCGAGTCCAAAAAGACTTGAGCAACGAAGCCAGCAATCACAACAAAACCAAACAACACAAAAGAGAGGCCAGAGATACACAACGCTGCGGAGAGAACAGATAACAAGAGAGCGAGAGAGAGAGAGAGGAGTGTCGACTCGTTTTAGAGGGAATGCAGCGTGCGGTGCAAAATGCAGCCAAACAAATTACTAAAACACACGAAAAATTAATCAAATAAAGAAGCGAAGACAATTCCACAGCACGCACTGTATCTGTCTACACCTCAGGTCGCAGACAGACAGCAGGCACTGTATATCGAAAGCGAGAGAGATTCCCTCACGTTTTAGCGCTAAAACAGCTAAAGATAAAGCCATGGACAGGGACAGCCTACCCCGCGTACCGGACACCCACGGCGACGTAGTCGATGAGAAATTATTCTCGGATCTGTACATAAGGACCAGCTGGGTGGATGCCCAAGTGGCGCTCGATCAAATTGATAAGGTAAGTGGTCAAAATCAACCAAAAACAGCAACAACAATTGAGCCTTTGCCCCATGTAACTTTTGCTTAATGCGGCCATTAAGCCGTGGAGACAGTCTCCAATAAATTTTATTGCCAATATCTCTCGCAATAATTTTTCGTTTCATTTCGCTTTGTTTCGTTTTCGTTTGCCCGGGTCTGCCTCTGGGTCGCCTCTGGTTAATAGAGCTGTCTGTTCCCCAGACAAGTCAGCCTATTAATTACAGTGATTAGCAAAAATCTATGCGAAATATGCTGCCAATCGGCTTATATGCAAATTTGTTATTTTATATTTTTTATGGCTAAAGAGCGTGGAGGAATTAGTTCTATAAAAATACATTTTGTACGCTTTAAAATATGGCATCAAGAAAGAAGGTTTGTTTTCATTATGTTTAAAGCCAATCCTTCTCATGTCAGAGTCAAAATGACTATTTCCTCTGTATGGTCTGCCACACACAGCAGGGCTCAAGATCTGGATTCGGAGGGACAGACATTTCCACAGACAACTTCATTACTTTGGCGCTACTGTGCAGTCGAGTTGGGGTCTGGTCTGACCGTAAAATAAGGAAAGAAACAGAAACTGCAACTGCAGCTAGCGCCAAAAACAGCAAAGATCAGGTCTGTGTGGCAGCAGGAGATCCAAGGGAAAGCAATAGCAACATCAGCAGCAGCAGCAGCAGCCTTCCAAAAAGGCAAAAAGCTTTGGAAACCACAACACGAAAACAAGAAAGGAATTCAAACAAGTGGTCCCGAAGCCTTAATACCCTTTCGAAACGATATCGAAAGTACTTAGATCGAATGCTGCCAATAGCCCTTTAACTGAGGGACTACTGATGATCATTCTAAAGAATATACATACTGTATATAAAGATACGCATCTTTTAGATATGGTTTTCGACCTTCTTTAGTCTCTGCCCTGCAAACATATGCTCAAAATAGGAATACCTTCCGCGAGGGTATAATCATAAACAACAATGCTGTTTGCTTTAATGTGTATGGGTGTGTGTGTGTGTGTGAGCAACCGCAGCCTCAGTCAGCCCCAACATGGGTGGGCGCGGGCTCTGGTCTTCTCAGAGCTCTCCGCGAGAGTCGAATCGTTTCGTACGTGCTGCTGCTGTCTATCCCTCTCTCTCTTTCTTTGTGTCTCACCCCCCGCTGCAGATGCTCTTTCAAATGGAATGCGTTCTTGTTGTAGCATGGCTTTTGTCGGGAATGCTCTCACTTCTGGGCGGCTTGAGTGGAAGGATGCGTGACGTAATGCAGCGCGGGCTTATTAAAAAGCATTATGCGTAAACGGGGAAAGGGTGTGCTACATTCGCTATTCCATCAATTACTGAACCCAAAAAAGAGAACTGTAAACAATCATTGCCAAAAGCAAAAAGCATTTTTGTTTGTTGTTGCGGCTGGTGCAAATGTAGACGGGGCTGTGGCAGGCGAGGCGAGTTGCTTCGATACGGGTGGCCCAAAGGCACAAAGAAATAAAACCGAATGAAAAATTTCACTGACGCACGCGCTTTGTTGTTGCTGCAGCACTTTCCAGTGTCAGTATCCCCCCACCTTTACCGCTGCTTCTCTTTCTTCTACACTCTGGTCATGCCAGAATAAGTTCCCACAAAATTGTACGACCTGAAAGGGTATCTAAAGCTTCGACGCCATCGAGGATAGGCCTGCCTTTCTTGTTACAACTTGATGTCTTCATCATGGTTGTTTCTGGATGTTGCTGGTCTCCGGTTGTTGCTGTTTGCTGCCGCTCCGCGTGGCGTGTCTTGCTCTGTTGTTGTTTTTCTGTTGCCTCTTCTCCATCTACATCTCCTCCTGCAACTGTGCGCTTTCTGACTTCTCTTCGTATCTCAATTATTTCTCGTAAAGTCTCTTGGGGGCACTGCTGTAACGTGGTCCTCTCCTGCCCTAAACTCTTCTGGAAAGTTGCAGCAAACGATCGATCGTGATGGCGCCGTCATCGTCGTCGTCGTAGTCATCGACATCGGGCATCGCGCATCGAGCATCGTCCATGGCGATTTATTTTAATGACTCAATTTAACGAAATATATGAAGACATTAAAATTGTCTAACGAACCGAGCGAACCACACACGTCCAAGCAACAACAACAGCCACAACGCTGTCAAAGTGCGTTTGCTTTTTTTTTTTTTTTTTTTGGGGACTATGCAAATTACTCAACGTGACTATTATTATTATTTTTATTTATTTTATCCTTTTTTTTGCGCTACTGGGAGGTCTTTTGCTGGCTGGCTGGCGGACTTTGAAGAGGGGATGACGTTGCGCCCACATGATCTGAATGCCAAATGAAGCCGAGCATAAAGAAATATGCTCTACTCTATCCAAAGGCCGTCACAACTTGGGAATCAATTTTGTCAGCTTTTTGTTGTTCATTAATCAATTTATACATAATATGTGATGAGGCGGAGAAATCCAAAGTTTTCCCTACATTGAAAAGCTCTCTGCAATTCCGTTTATAAAGATATGTATTTGTCAGGTGTCTCAAAAAAACCTCCGGACAAACCCAAACTGAATTCAAATTTAAAGGCAATGCCGCACTATCGATGCAGGCCATGTACGCCGTCGATCAGCGAGGATTGAGCTCGTTGTATTGTATCTATGAGATACGTATAAATTCATGAATGAAATCGCTTGTCGCGGCTCCTCTGCCCACCCTCTTTCTTCGGTTTGCTGTGCCAATTGTAAAGCAAACACACACTCACACCAAGAGGGAGCAAGAGGGAGAGAGAGATACTCAGATACACACTTTGCACAGGAAGTTGGGAAACATTGGCGGCATTTTGAAGAAGTCTTCACGTTGCTGCCGCTGCTGGCAGTAGGCAATAAATTTGTTTAGTCATGCCGCGATATCCATCGCTGTCCACTGCACTGTCCATTGCCCCCTTCCATCCGGCGCACTCTTTTCACAACTGCCCATGAAAAACAAACACAAACACAAATATTTGTGGCATCCACACACACACAATGGGCAAACATTTCTCAAATTGACATGGCCAAAACGAGAAAAAACCAAAGTTGAACGAAGAAGACCACAACCAGTAGCTCAGTTACACAAACTTTGAAATTGTCATTCAGGCAGAGGATCCTAATGGATTGGACAAACATCCAAGATGTGGGGAATATAACGTAAGAAATATGGTGGGAGAAGACATTTGTTTACTTGCTACATGGGGCATACAGAGCTTAAATAAATTCCTTATTCGAAGGATACAGATATTTCTGTATCTTCCAACCTCACCCAAAGCACCATGTGGGTAAAACAAATATTAAATCAAGACCTCAACCTCTACTACAGCCACCGATAACGTTTTCTATTGACTTTCAGAGACCGTAAGTCAAATATTATAATTTCCAGATCGTTATCTCATAGATAAGATCTCGAGCGTGGGGAAGGTGTAAGGCAAATAAATCATTGTCACACTTTCGATCAATATTTGTTAGGTGATATTTTCATGGAGGAGATATCATGGGGCGACCTCCAATAGACAGGAGTAGAACTAGGATAATATGAAATACAAAATATGCCAAATGACAAAGAGTACAAGTACATGTAAGGCATGCCAGAAAAGATCAAAGGGAGTAAACCGAAAGCAAAAGCGAGGGTGAGTCGGGATCTCAAGTGGAGTGTGGAGTGGAGAGTAATCCTTGGGCAAACTCGCTCGAGGAGTGACACACTGTGATAGCGAGAGAGAGAGAGAGAGAGAGAGAAATGGATGGATGGATGGAGAGATACCTGCATAAATTGCCATTCCCCTTCAGCAGGGGTGGAATAGATTCATCGATGCTTCGTTCGCTTCCCAGAAGGCTCCGACAAAAATGTCGATGAAGATATCTCACGCCTACAAGCATTTCCGGCTTACGGTTACTCCATGAGTGGGTAAACACGAGAGAGGGACGGCCCCGGGCCGGGCCGGTATACTGCGATAGAGATGCCGATATAGAAGCGACACAGGGAGGAAGTGCTTAACAAGTTAACGGTAATTCGACATGCTGGGCGTGTTGAAAGCAAAACAACATAAGGACCGTGGAAATGGAAGTGTACGCCTAGAAACGGTCTTCTTCCAAGAAATACATATGTATTCTCCTTACGAATTTTCCTTACACGAACAGAACATGACTCTGGGACATTCTAATCTCAAAATGTGGGGTATCTGAAAAGGGTTTTTTCCATGTAAACACGGGAAGTTATGGGGATTCTTATTTGATAAAGAAACTTATTTTTGAAACTATTTAAATAAGACTTAGTCGAATTTCAAAGGTCGTCTTAGTCATAATGTTCCTTCATTCATAAATACCAACGCTCTGTATTGCTCCCTCTCTCTCTACGTAATCCCATGGCCCATTATCGATCCTGGTTGTCCCGCCTTTAATACCACAAACACAGAGCAGTACCCAATGGCCCACATCACACCCACATGGGTATCGGATCCAAACGATTGACAGCTTCATCAAGTGATTCGTGGCCACCGAAACACACACACACACACACACACACACACTTCTCTATAGAGATGTTCGTGTGCGTGGCATCCGCAGCAGCTGGCGAGGGGACTGAAACACTCGAAATAAAAACGAAAAAAAACGATACGTACTCGGCCACAGTTTGGTCTTCATTAGGGCCAGGTTCGTGCAGGCCAAAGGCAAAGCCAAAGGTGTGCTCCCAACAGAGGGGGGGTGGGGCTCGGAGTGGCCGCACATAAAACTGTTATTGTCTTCATCAGTCGTCTTTCTGCCGGGCCCACACGAACGAGAAACGAACGTAGCAAGACATAACAGCAACAACAAAAGAGAGAAGAAAAATCAGAAGAATTATGAAGACATTAACTCGACCACACAGCACGCGGCCCGGTCCGACCCGGTCCAAGCCGAATAAAGAGACAAGACGAAACGAGGAGAGAAGAGAAGAGACGAACCGATCCGACCGAACCTTATGACCAAGAGTAACAACGAAAAAAGGTACACAAAAAGGTACAAGAAGAAGCAGACGAGACACACAGTGACACTGGCCAGGGAGAGACAGGCAGACACAGAGAATGCGAGAGAGCGAGCGAGTGAATGGAAGAGAGGGGGCCCGAATACCGGAAAGAAACATTCAAGCAATAATCACGGAATTCACTAAAAAAGCAGTTAACGGACAGACAGAGCGGTCCGGACAACAACGAAGACTCCACTCGGACGACTCGTCTCGGGTCGGCGCAGAGTACGAGTAGTGCGTGTGTGTGTACCTGCGACGACAGCGAGGACGGATGAATCGGCCAGGTAGGCCGAAAAGGTAGCCCCGGGGTTGTTGTGTTTTCGATGTTCGTCTGAAAATAATCAAGAAAATAAAATTGTTCCTGCAACTTGTTGGGCAGGTGGAAATTATTTCCATATAATATTGAAATTTGAGTGGCGTTACTTCTTCGAGAGACTGTAGCAAGAGAGCTTTTGCATGAGCTCTCTTCAGGCGCAACAGCTGCGGGTGCGGTCACTCGCTATCCCTGTTTCTCCTTTGCACCTGGCACTGCTGGCTGGAGCTATGTACATAACTGTAAAAATTCAGCCTCGGCTTACCTCTCACCTCGGCTCACTGGCTGTCTCTCTCTTCCCCTGATCTGAAAAAGGCACTGCTCCAATGACCTTCAAACCTTTTTTAACGATTCCATTTTATGGGCATGCAAATTTTTGGTCTCGGTCTAAAAAAAAGCAAAATCGAAAAACCTGAAGAAGAGCATGAAATGGGAATAAATTCGGCAAACAGCTTGCTAGTCACGTTTTGGGGGCGCCATAAATCGGCGGCAGGCGATAATTTGCATTCAACGGTTTCTCATTTAGTTGTGCATCTCTTTTAATTGCTGCAAATTCAATTTACTTTCCGGCAGTCGAAGAGAAAATAAGACGGTCAAAGTCCATTTTGTAGTTGCCGTTTGGCTGGCTACTCTCCAAGGGAGAGTAGGGAAGCGGAGACTGGAATAGTGTAAATATATACCCCTCACAGATCTGTTTCAAGTTCCCTCCAATACCCACCAACCCATTTAAAATAGACATTAAACCGTCTTCCCAGTGACGCAGTTTCCATTTCTTCTCCCATTCCGTTTGACAGCTGCCGCAGCTGTGTGAATGGCATGTGAAAATAAAAGCACAGAGCTCCATTTAAATGCCAAAGGAAAGAGATAAAAAAAACACAGATACTAAAGAGAAAAAACCATAAGATATACAGAGACATAAGAGGAGAAGATCGGAAATGTATGGGATGGGGCAATGTCGGGGATTTCGTATTCCAAAACGTTATCAAGTGGCATATAACTTTTATGGTAGCTACAAGTTTTATGGCACACGCTTACGTGAGCAACATGGGAAAGCTGTGCAGTGTGCTGGGCTGGGGGGCATGACACACACAGACAATGGATTCCATAAATAGAGCAGATCCGATCCAACCATCCTTTTGTCAGCTATCAAAAGCTGCGCTCCCGCTAAAAAGCAGGTGCGGACTACAATGTTTCCCTGTAATTTCTTTCCTTTCTTCGGACAAACTGTAGCCCATAAATTTTGCTCGGCAATGGCAGATACATATTTGGCTCTATAGAGGCTCTATAGAGACATTCAGTCACTATTCATATTCATATTCATTGCCTTTTGCCTTTGGGTGGTCTGCCATATTGAATTTCATTTTATGCTAAAAACTGTTTGTTGTATCTTTTTGCTGTTTTGCATTCGATTTTTATTGCGGCATAACTGGGTGCGCTCATATTTTATGGCTTGACGCGCCATATCCCGGTCAAGTGGTTTTTCGATTTCCAAAAGGCATGGAAAAGTTTTTTGTGTTCATATTTGTGGAGTGGCTCCCTCCCGAACCGGGACCGTGTAATTAAGTAGTCAAACTCTGTGGGGGGCCGCCCGGCACAGCCCAGGGGAAATTTGATTTTATGGCGGATGATGTGTCGGTTCTTTTGATTGATTGATGCCTGATTGAAAATTGTTATTAAAGGGGAATATATAATTATGTTTTTTGTTTTTAGATGTTTAATATAACCTAAAAAGAGGCATCAATAAATAACCCAGAAACCATCTTTATTCTTTCTTCCCAAGTGGTACCATTCTTCTGTACTTGCACCTGCCATTGCATTTAGCTCTCTACTTCCATCTCTGTTTCTCCTTCTGAGCGATTCGTCATGGGATCCGAGGTCTAAGCTCGTCTGGGGTCTTAGTCCAGCGGGATTAAGAAGGCAGGCTCCTGCCTGGAGGCGAGGCTAGTTTCTAATGAAGACGTTTCCAGGAGAGAGAGAGAGCACCAGAAAGGAACGGTTTCAGGAAAAAGGCCTGGTCATAAATCAATTTGTGACACATTTCCTCACAACGAGCCTTAGGCAGCCTCGGGGGGTGTGTGCCGTAGGGAAAAAACAGCAACAACAAGATTGATGACATGGTCACATGCACACACGCGCACACACACACACAGTGCATGCAACATGTTGAGCATCATATTACAGATACGGAGCGAGGGAGAGGCAGGAATGAGAGAGGACTGAGTGACAAGCGTTAACAGTAAGCGACCAGGCTGATGGCTCAATAATCGCACAGTTTGAGGCGCACTGGAATACCTGGCCAAATCTAGATTGCGTTTATTTTTAGCTATGGCTGCCCCCTCGGGGCCCACTGCCTCTGCAGAAATGGTTTGCCTCCCCCTCTGTAGGGGCGGCAGATTGAGAGAGGGAACAATTCCAAGAATACTATGCCTCTTGCCTGCTTTTGTTTTCCTCACGCTCTTGCACCTAAGCAGCAGCTGTATTAAAAGGGAGCGGCGAGGAGCATACAACATTATTATGTTATGGAAAATTTCCACGAACAGGTCGCCACAGGCGGCGCACAGGCAGCCTCAGAGTGTCTCAAAGGGGACTCGCCGCCAATGACTTAATTAATGGCGACAAAATCGAACGCGCAGCGTTTGATGTGCTCTCTCTTTGCGTTTACCTTCTCGCTCCCTCTCTCTTTGCGGAAGTGCAGCGTACTCTCTTGCATAAACAAACAGCAGCAGGAGCAGTGGCGTCGACGGCAGGAAGTGCAGCCTATCCCACTCCAACTTCCACTCTGTCAGAGAGGATAGAGCGGGAGAGAGAGAAGCAAACAAAGACATTAAGCGTGGATTATTTATGTGGTACTCCCGCTCTATCTTAACGGTAGTCATAAAATGCTCAAAGACCCAACAACAAAGGCACTCCGTGATGGCTCCTTCCCACTGTCCACCTCTGCAGCCACTCCCGATCTTAACTCATCTTTTGTATACTCTTGCAGAGAGTGATATCCTCTCCGTCTGGTGGCTCTCTCTGCTTCTTTCGAACTAGCATTACAGCAATCGGTAATCATAAGGGCATTTAAAGCTTCGTCTCTCTATGTTCTTTTTGGTTTTTTTTTGTTTGTTGCTTTTTACCAACAACCTGACTTTACTTCCACTGGGTTCTGGCTGGAGAAAAATCTTTGAAAAGCGATCAAAGAAGAGAGCTAAACTTCGAGAACTTTCGAGTTTGTTTCGGTCTCGTTTTGTGTGGAATGCGTTCCGTTCTGTTCTGTTCCTGCTGTGGGTGCGCCTTTGCGGGTACAGTGGGTCTGGATAGATTTACTTGAGTGGAATTTATACACGTTTATGTTCTCGTTTTAATTAAATTGGCAGAGATGTGGAATCAATATAGAATTTAGTTGCCCATATCACTCAACACAACGCTATCAATAATATTGGAATCACCTTAAGATTTCAATCTAAAGAATGTTTCCATGCAGTTTTTATCAGCCTTGACCCACTGTTTTTATGATTGTTTGACTCAAACTTCGATTGAGACGTTAGCGTTAGCGCGCGCCTCATTATTATTTTTTTTGGGAACGGTGGGCACAATTTTCGTGCAGGCGCTGCAACAGGCACGAAATTAGCGGAGAAAGGAGGGGAAAGGAAAGCCAGAAAGCCAGGCCCCTAGCTGATCGATCCAATTGCCCAAGCAGGCGATTATAGGTTCGCTTCTTTTTTTCGGCCTGGCAACGTCGTCGGCGACAGCGGCGTCTTGTGTTGTTTTTGTATGTCTGCGGCTGGATATTGGGTTGGGCCCGCCGGGTCCGCTGGAATTGGGAATGGGAATGATGATGATGATGATGATGGTTTCATCGGGACTGCTTGGCGGCTGCTCTGCTCCCTCTGTGGTCGGTTCTCGCAGATGCGATGCCACGAGAAACACACAAATAAATTATATGGCTGCGTCGGGCCACACGCTGTTTCGTTATAATTTTAATGCGTTATTTATGGCATCCACCGAAAGGGAAACGAAATCGACAAGATCCATGGAAACTAATTCCGTTCTCTCTCTCTCTCTCTCTCTCGCTCGTTGCAGGGTAAAGCGCGTGGCAGCCGGACGGCCATCTATCTGCGTTCAGTATTCCAGTCCCACCTCGAAACGCTCGGCAGCTCCGTGCAGAAGCATGCCGGCAAGGTGCTATTCGTGGCCATCCTGGTGCTGAGCACCTTCTGTGTGGGCCTGAAGAGCGCCCAGATCCACTCTAAGGTGCACCAGCTTTGGATACAGGAGGGCGGCCGCCTCGAGTCGGAGCTGGCGTACACACAAAAGACCATCGGCGAGGACGAGTCCTCCACGCATCAGCTGCTCATCCAGACGGCCCACGATCCGAATGTCTCGGTGTTGCATCCGCAGGCGCTGCTCTCCCACCTCGAGGTGCTGGTCAAGGCCACCGCCGTCAAGATCCACATGTACGACGCCGAGTGGGGACTGCGCGACATGTGCAACTCCCCGACCACGCCCACTTTCGAGGGACACTACTACATCGAGCAGATACTGAAGCATTTGATACCGTGCTCGATCATCACGCCTTTGGATTGCTTCTGGGAGGGCAGCCAGCTGCTGGGACCAGAGTTTCCCGTGAACATTCCGTGAGTAATCCTTAGAAATAGTTTCCAGTATTTCCAGTTGTCTAATCTTACGTTTCGACATTCCATGCGCCTGGCAGTGGCCTTAATCAACGCCTCATGTGGAGCACCCTGAACCCCGCGTCGGTGATGCAGTTCATGAAGCAGCAGATGTCCGACCAGAAGATCAGCTTTGACTTCGAGACCGTGGAGCAGTATTTGAAGCGGGCGGCCATCGGCAGCGGATACATGGAGAAGCCCTGCCTCAATCCGCTGAATCCCAACTGCCCGGAGACGGCACCGAACAAGAATAGCACCACGCCGCCGGATGTGGGGGCCATACTGTCGGGCGGCTGCTACGGCTATGCGGCCAAGCACATGCACTGGCCGGAGCAGCTGATTGTGGGCGGCGCACAGCGGAATCGCAGTGGACACCTGAAGAAGGCTCAGGCCCTGCAAACGGTGGTGCAGCTGATGACCGAGAAGGAGATGTACGACCAGTGGGAGGACAACTACAAGGTGCACCACATCGGCTGGACCCAAGAGAAGGCCGCCGAAGTGCTGAATGCCTGGCAGCGTAACTTTTCCCGCGAAGTGGAGCTCCTGCTGCGCAAGCAGTCTCGCATTTCCGCCAACTATGACATCTACGTTTTCAGCTCGGCCGCCCTTGACGACATTCTGGCCAAATTCTCGCACCCGAGTGCCCTAAGCATCGTCATTGGAGTAGCTGTCACCGTTCTCTACGCATTTTGCACGCTTCTCCGGTGGCGTGATCCCGTCCGGGGCCAGAGCAGCGTGGGTGTCGCTGGTGTGCTGCTCATGTGCTTCAGCACCGCAGCTGGCTTGGGTCTGTGTGCCCTGATGGGGATCGTCTTCAATGCGGCCAGCACTCAGGTGGTGCCATTCCTGGCCCTGGGCCTGGGCGTGGATCACATCTTCATGCTGACGGCTGCCTATGCGGAGAGCAATCGCAAAGAGCAGACCAAGCTGATCCTGAAGAAGGTCGGACCAAGCATCCTTTTCAGCGCCTGCAGCACGGCCGGCTCCTTCTTCGCGGCAGCCTTCATTCCGGTGCCGGCGCTAAAGGTGTTCTGCCTGCAGGCAGCCATCGTGATGTGCTTCAATCTGGCGGCTGCTCTGCTGGTCTTTCCGGCCATGATTTCGCTCGATCTGCGACGGCGCACTGCCGGCCGGGCGGACATCTTCTGCTGCTGCTTTCCCGTGTGGAAGGAGCAGCCCAAGGTCATGCCGATGAACAACAACAATAGCCTGCGGGGAGCGCGTCACGTGAAGAATTGTAACAACAGCCGCGTGGGTCTCCCTCCGCCGCCACCATCCCAAAATCCTCTACTGGAGCAGCACGGCGGCGGCGCAACGCCTGGCAGCATCAGCAGCAGCAGCAAGAGCAGCTCCCTGCCGTCGTTTTCCCTGTCCAGCTTTGCCTTCGACTACTACACACCCTTCCTGATGCGCAGCTGGGTGAAGTTTCTGGCCGTTATGGGCTTCCTGGTGGCGCTGATCTTCAGTCTGTACGCCTCCACCAAGCTGCAGGATGGCCTCGACATCATTGACCTGGTGCCGAAGCACAGCAACGAGCACAAGTTCCTGGACGCGCAGACGCGCCTCTTCGGATTCTACAGCATGTACGCGGTGACGCAGGGCAACTTCGAGTATCCCACGCAGCAGCAGCTGCTGAGGGACTACCATGACGCCTTCGTCCGGGTGCCGCATGTCATCAAGAATGATAATGGAGGCCTGCCCGACTTCTGGCTGCTGCTGTTCCGCGACTGGCTGAAAAATCTGCAGCGCATCTTCGACGATGAGATTCGGGATGGGCGGCTGAACAAGGAGGTGTGGTACCCGAATGCCAGCAGCGATGCCATCCTGGCCTACAAGCTGATCGTGCAGACGGGCCATGTGGACAATCCGGTGGACAAGGAGCTGGTGAAGACGAATCGGCTGGTCTTCAGCGATGGCATCATCAATCCAAAGGCCTTCTACAACTATCTCTCTGCCTGGGCCACCAACGATGTCTTTGCCTATGGTGCATCCCAGGTACGTCCTTTTAACACCTTTTCTACACCCAAAAGCTAACTCTTTTTGTGTTTTTTGTTTTTGCAGGGCAAACTGTATCCAGAACCGCGTCAGTATTATCATGCGCCCAACGAGTATGACCTGAAGATACCCAAGAGCCTGCCACTGGTCTATGCACAGATGCCCTTCTATCTGCACGGCCTCACGGACACCTCACAGATCAAGACCCTGATCGGCCACATACGCGACCTGAGTGTCAAGTTCGAGGGCTTTGGACTGCCCAACTATCCTTCCGGTAGGTCCAAAACCATCAAGAAATGTATTCTCCAAAGCTAACCCAATCTCTCTGCTGCATCCTCAGGCATTCCCTTCATTTTCTGGGAGCAGTACATGACATTGCGCTCCTCGCTGGCCATGATTCTGGCGTGTGTTTTGCTGGCTGCCTTGGTGCTCGTCTCGCTGCTGCTGCTGTCCGTTTGGGCCGCCGTGCTGGTGATACTCAGTGTTTTGGCCTCGCTGGCACAGATCTTTGGGGCCATGACCTTGCTGGGCATAAAGCTGTCGGCCATACCCGCAGTCATACTAATACTGAGCGTGGGCATGATGCTCTGCTTCAATGTGCACATATCCCTGGTGAGTCCTCAATCTGCCCAATGGCTGCAAACAATATCTAACCTTTGATCTCTCCTCAGGGCTTTATGACATCGGTGGGCAATCGTCAGCGCCGCGTCCATCTGGCCATGCAACTGTCATTGGGTCCGCTGGTGCATGGAATGCTCACCTCTGGGGTGGCAGTTTTCATGCTCTCCACATCGCCCTTCGAGTTTGTCATCCGCCACTTCTGCTTCCTGCTGATTGTGGTGCTTTGTGTGGGGGCATGCAACAGCCTGGTGGTCTTCCCCATTCTGCTGAGCATGCTGGGGCCGGAGGCGGAGCTGGTGCCACTGGAACATCCCGATAGGATATCCACGCCCTCGCCCCTGCCCATGCGCAGCAGCAAGCGCTCGAACAAGTCGTTCAGTGGGAACGGCTCGCGTTCGTCGTCGCGCAACAACTGCCAGAAGGCGCACCACTACCACAAAGACGTCAACATCAACGATCCCTCGCTGACGACCATCACGGAGGAGCCGCAGTCCTGGAAGTCCAGCAACTCCTCCATCCAGATGCACAACGACTGGAGTGCACCAGCACCGCCGCCGCCGACACAGACAACGAACAACTTCAACAACATAAACTATCAGCACGGCGGGGGATCACGCCCCGCCTCGTATGGAGCACCGCCACCCGCGTACCACAAGGCCGCACAGCAACAGCAGCAGTATCCACCAGAACTGCAGAGCATCGTTGTGCAGCCGGAGGTGACGGTGGAGACGACGCACTCGGACAGCAACACCACCAAGGTGACGGCAACGGCCAACATTAAGGTGGAGCTGGTCACGCCCGGGCGGGCGGTGCGCAGCTATAACTTTACGAGTTAGCACTAGTTCCTGTAGCCATTAGCCACTATCTCTAACTGTAGCTTAAGCTTTAACTCTAACTTTATCTGTATAATCGAGATATGTCTATATATATATATATGTGTATATGCTTATGTGTATATGTGTATGCATGTTAGTTAATTTCCGCGCGCATCTATATGTAGCAGCTGCTATGCCCCACAACCCCACGTTCCCCTACTTCTAATCCTACTCCTACTATCTGTCACCATCCTCGCCCTACCCTGAACTCCTTCCCATCCCATCCCTCTGCCTAGCAGCTTTGTATGTATGTATTTAGCTCTTAAGGCATTTCTTATACATAGAGATACATATTTATTATAACACACACACACACACACACACAAGCACACACTGTACTTACACACCAACACAATTAAAAGCGATATTCACGACACCACCCTCCCCCACCCCACCACTCCGCACGACACACAAAGCAAACAAACAAACTAGTAATTTATAGTCTTTAATTTAGTTTAAATATGTACATACGACAAACGAAAAAAAACCACAAGGACTTGAACCAAAATAGTATCGCTTATATGGAAACGAAAGAAACAAAAAATTACTATTACTGAATCGAGCAACAACAATTACAAGCAAAATAAAACAACAAAAACTCCAAAAAAAGCCCATCCCCCGTAACGGTACTTACAACCAAAATAAAATGAAAATATAAATAATTGAAAAACATAAAAGAGATTAATGGAAATTAATGAGAATGCGACTGGAAGCGAATCATTGTAAACGCGGCATTTAACCATGTACATTTGTTGCCCAAAGACGGATTGACTTTCTTTTAAATAAAATATACAGTTTTTTAAAAGCGAAACGATTCTTTTGCAGCAATTTGGCGGTTATTTAAGTGTTGGTCAATTTAGCGAACAAGAAGTTGATTTTTTTAGTTGAACCCTCTCTAGCTAACACACCATGCTCCTCTCTTAGATAGTATCGGATGTGCGATGTTCTTAATTCGATATAATTTAGCTGCTTGCATTTTGAAGTCCGTTAGGACTTTATTTGCGTGTTTTTTTGTATTTAATTCCCTGTATTAGATACGCAATAAGCCAGCCATTATTTCCTTTATTTCATTAAAATTAGAATTACTTTCTAATTACTGAAATGCCAAATAGAATCGAACTGTGAGCCAGTCAACGTAATTATATTTATTATTTAAAAAATAAATCAACTACATGTGATATTTGACCCATTAGTAAATGATTTTACCTTCTCACTCGGTGTCGCTTCTAGAATCGATCAAATTTCTATCATGGCGATAAATTAAAAAGTAATGGGTATACCTAGAATGGAAGTACACTTGCGCCTCTATACAGGGCTGGAAGCTCAAGTTGTTTTTAAAGGGTACTGGCGATACTATACTACTATTTTAGCGATACTATCGAACCCATAGATAATATCGATAGCACCATCGGACCGGCAGGGGCCATGCGCATCTCTAAGGCAATTGCCAAACAAACAAACTAAAGTCTAAAAAAATAAAAATTAACCGAAATCGCATGACAGTGTTATCATGAGAGTAAGTGTGTGGCCGATGTAATAAGAGAATCAATTACTTTTGATAAATCAATCACATTCTGAGCCCCGTAATTGCATAAAAGAACAGCAGACGAAAGACATCAGAAAAACGTGAGCACCGTTTGGTTGTGTGCGTGTGTGTGTGCTGATGGGAGTGAGAGCGTGCGAGAGAGCGCGACCATGAAGGAGAAAATAATATCGTGGCAAAAGCAAACGACGGCGAAAAATTCGAATCAAAACCAAAACCAACGCCGCCCAACGCAAACGGTTGTTCACGCGTCGTCGTTGCCGTACAGAAAGAGAGCTCCAACAATTTGTTTCATGCGGGCGCCAATTAAAACAGCACACTAACTAAAATACAAGCCAAATTCTTAAAACGCAGTTCAACAGCGCTTCTTAGGAGTGTGTGAGTGGAGTAAGTAACGTGGTCTAAACACAATACGTGTGTGCGCTGGTGTTTGTGAGTAATTGTGCAGTTTGTGAAAGTTTTTTTGCGAAAGTTTTGTGACCACTTTAAAGCGCATTTGAGAAAAGCGGCCACCGATTCACTCACAAAATATTTATTCATATATATAGCGCATGCAAAATGTGAGGATTAGGGAAAATCAAGAGAAGCGGAGTGTAGCGTGCTCAAGAATCCAACGCCAACGCCAACGCATCATTTTATGCTGGCAGTGGCTTTACGTTTATGCGTGAGCGGGAGCGCCAGCGCCTGTGTGTGTGTTTTCGTGTTCTTATTGGCAAACGTCATTTTATATAATCGCCGATCGCTGATTTATATTTTATCTCCATTCCATGTGCGTCTCCCACCAAAACAAACCAAAAGTTTTCCCTCTGTCAAGAACTGCGACACACATCATAGGTAAGTTTAGCATATCACTCCGTTTCAGAGTTATGTTGTTGTGACGTAGGTGAGTGAGACTCAGCTGGCAAGCCTCTCTTTTGTCTCGATATCTCTCTTTTATTCTATCACCCCTGCGCCGGCTGGGCCTCTTCTCAGTTTGTAGTTTTCCGAATGTCACGCCACCTTACCTTATCAATGACGTACATATGCAATTTGTCTATAAAGAGTCTTTGAGAAATCGACTATATTTGTCACTCGGACGCTGACCCAATTTATCCTACGTATAAATATATATGTACAAATATGCACATGTATGCAGATGTATGCATGTACATACATATGTATGTATGCACGTTATTCCAGTGCAACTGCACTTTTCCTTATGCAATTGTTGGTTGCCAATGGCAGCGCAGTGTTTAGGTATTGTTTTCTTGAGTTATTTATTGATTTGTTTGTGCAATGGAGAAGCTGTTGGCGATTGATGCGTCGGCTTGGTCACACTCCATTGGTGTTCCGTTTGCTTTCACAACCTGTTAATTGATGCCCCTCCCGCATTTTGTTTTTCAATTAGAATTATATATTTCATTCTTCGGACCTACGCACATGCATATGCTCTCTCTTTCCTCTTTGCTCTTCCCTTTAGATATTGCTCTCTTCGTGGATTTCCCCTACTTGTTTTCCACGTGTAAAGTTCTTGTAATTTATTTTGCGCAAACGCTCTCCCCATCGTGTTATCTCTCTCTCCCGGTCTTGCTCTCTCTGTCCCACTGTCTCGCCATGTTATACCAACTGAAAATCATGCGAGTTTTGCCTTTGATGGGTGGCAGGAGAATGCCGGGGCACAAGGCTGGGGCCTCCAGTTCGGGGTCATCTGTGACTGTCTCTGCATGTGCGTGTGTGTGTGTGTGTGTGTGTTCTGGTGTGACGTGTGTCATCTGTTTCTGATTCCTTGGAACCAGCTGAGCGGCTGGATGGGTGGCGTGTGGCCGTGGGCTGGAGGCCTGCGTGGGTGTGTTGCATTCAAACGGATGTGGGTGGTTGGTCGGTTGGCCCCGTCTTGTTTCTAGGGCGCGGCTTCGCCAATGGCCGGAAGCAGGTCGTACTGTAAGCAGTTTAGAATCGAAATATCGCTCATATAGCTGCCGTTAGTCTAGAGGTACGGCACGTCGCGCTTCGTGTTGCAAGTGGAATGCATTTCAAAAGTTCAGGCGGAAAAGATAAACGCAAAAGATAGCAGGACTGCCAGCGGTGAGTGCAATAAGCAGCAAATGCTGAAAATGTGAGATGGCGCGATTCCAGGTGGCAGTAAGAACTGTTTTTGTTTGAATCAAAGAAACGCCAAAAACCTTTGTTGATTCATGTTTTCTATGGCAGCTTTGTGTATTGAAATTACTGTACAAATTATACCCTTTACGAATGAGTAACATATAATAGATTCAACGTAAATCAATTGGGTCGGCTGTTGCGATAAGAGGAAACTGCTGTGATAGCCAGTCTTCATTACAAAACTGGTGTCTCAGGCATTTCCGCTTCTGTAATTCAACGTCGCATTAAAATGTTATTTTTGTGGCCACATGTTGAAAGATAAACTTTATTTTATGTATTATTTTGTGCATATTTAATGTACGAGAACCAACTTTTCGAACAATTTTTAATAAGTTTCCAGAAGCGCCCTCAACTTCTTTGCCTCGCCGAGTGGAGGTGCGTGGAATGAATTTGCCGGTCTCAGTTTTCATTCATGGCCAAGCCAGCACACACACACACCTACAACGCAGGCAGGCCATTTCCCCACTCCACGAGGTGTTTTCATGTAAACAATGTACTCTTTGACCTTTCAATATTTTCCCCTGCTCACACATACACCAACACACACAGTCGCTCTTCGCTCTTCCACAGTACAGTTGTGACGCACACGCATGCAACCGGCTGTCTCTCTTCGACTCTCGCTCTCTCTGAGTCACCTAATCTTGGTTACTCTCTTCGCCGCATATTCTTTTACTTTGTTTTAAGCTTACAGGGTGGATAGGTAGGGCAGAGGGAGCGGCAGCATTTCCCCTGAAACTCGTACGATTTTCAGCTGGTATAACGAAATGCCATCGAATGAAAGAAAAACGTGCCACCAGAGTTGCCCGACTGCCTCACCACCACCCGGCTACCCGTCCCTTTCACCCCGCCTTGTGACTCTTGTTGGAGGATTTCCCGTTTGCCGTTGCATTTTTTGCTTTTCTCTTTCTCTCTCGCTGGCTCGCGCCGGGCGCTGTGTCAAAAATAGTCACACGATGTCTGGGGCGACCGAAGGCAGATCAGACCCTCCAACCCTGCACCACCCCCCGACTGGATTTCAGATTGTAATGACATTTTGTAATCGGTTGCCCAACCCCCTTTGGGCTGTTTGCCAGGGCTTCAACAGTTTCGCTATTACTTTTTTTTCCTTCACGGTGCAACAGTGCAGCGCAGCGTTAGCTGCCGTTATTGCTCTCTCTATTCATCTGTTCGTCTCTGTTTTTTACCCCTGGAATTTGTAAGTCTAGAGAAGAAAACACGAAGTTTAAAGAACGACAAAACATTTCAAGAATTGCTTAAATTTATACGGATTAAAAAGCACTGTATCACATGCTTCGGCTTGCGAAAATAGCTTCAGCGCGGACTTGTTAATTCCATTAGTAAATGTTGCCCTGCATTCCTGTCAGTGCTTCTGTTTGTTCTTCACATCAGTTGCATTCGATTTTGGATAACCAAGGTATTATTTACTTTGGATTTACTTAAACAGCCAAATACTCGCACGAGAGATGGATCGATGGGGATAAGACAAACACATTAGTGATTTTAGTTGCTATAAGTATTGCTGTTTCCTGTTTCTAGTTGTCACGCCATTCAATTCTTAACTTGTTTTCAATTTAAAAATTCTATTTCGGCATACGCGGCGCGTCAGGTTTAGGAAGCATGACATTTTTTACTGTTGGAATGGACCGCACACAGCCAAGCGGGGAGATAAGCGAGGTGCAGTGGCTCATGGGTCGGGTGATAAAATGGGAAACAGTTCTTTAAAGCACATTGTTCCGACCCCTGTTCGTCTACGCCTGTGCATCGTACGAGCATTGTTTGTGTTTGTTTTAGTCATGACTTTGGTAGATTTTCTAACCGGTTTTTGCAGTACCGCTTCGATTAAACCGGGATCTGGCTGCTTGCCTCTCACGATCATTGCCAAAGCTGACTCGATTCCATTTTATTTGTGCGTGTTTCTTGTGGAAATTTTCACTGAAACACGTGCTTGGGTGTACGATGGTCACTCTAAACTTCAGAGTCTAAAGATAAGTACTGCGTCGCGACGCAGGCGCTTGTCTAGGTCATTTATTTTAGCTTTATGTTGTTGGCTTACTTTTACACACACTAGAGCATGTACACACGTACGCGAACGAACGTACGTAGCAGAGACATTCAGCCAAAGGCAAGGAAATGAGCGAGTGCAAAAGAGAGAGGAATCTGTATAGCGAGGTGGGTTCATATCAGATGAGACATGAGGCAGTGAGCGGTCTCACGATATACAAACATGCCTCACCTTGCCACATATTCCTATCATTTGCTCTGCCTCCGTCTCTACATAGAGCGATAATCAAATTTATTTTAAATTCAGCGCCCCCCCAACAGACGGACACACACAGAGACACCCACTCTTTCTCTCCCACATAAGTGGACACAAACAGACTCTCGCTCTCTCTGCCAGTTGTGTTTGTTTTGCATGTTTGTCGCTCTTGCTTTTGCTCTTTCTCTGCTCATTTCCATTGAATGAAATATTCAACGCCCCGTGCAAAGCTCGTGAGTTCTCGCTGTTGTGTCTTTATTTCCATCTCGTTTGAGTAATTCTCATTTTATTTAATGTGTGTAGGGCTTGTGTGCTTGCTGCTGCTGCAAGTGAAATAAAGTATTTTTATTTTGGACTTTGGCACAGTCATACGATCAATTCGTTACCCCATCATTTGCCCGTGAGAACATTGTGCGAAAGAGAACGAACCGAAGAGAGAGAACTGATGCATCGACGTAATGCGCTTGCTCGACGCTTGCATGGACAGACAGTATATCAAATGTTGCACATGAATGTAATTTTTGCACATAATGCAAATTATGGACTCAAGAGGAGCCGAAATCAGAAGAGAGCAGAGCGTCGGCTGGCGTTGGGCTGTGTTCAATGTCAAGGCAATCAGCTGATGAATAATTTCCCGTTACAACTGCCAAGCAGCCACCTTGACCAAAGTTCAAGTAACTGTAAACTAGGAAAGAAAGAGAGCTAGAAAGAGAGAGAGAGACATAAAGAGAGAGACAGAGAGAGAGACCGAGCTCTGTTCCCACATGTGCAATTCAAAATATTTACGCAAGTGTTTTTATTGTTGTCTTCCAAATGCTTTCACACTTAAACAGTTGAACGAATAGTATCCCGCCCCCATGCTTGGTATTGAAACAGCTGATGGGTAGATCCCTTAGAAATGTAAGGAATTCATGAACGAATACGTAGTTTATGCGTTTAATTCTAGTGTACCAGGAACAACATACTGAAATGAAACCAAAATAAGCAGACACGTTAGCGCTATTTGGTTCAAAATGACGTGGTCTTGTGTACATATATAATTGTTGCAATATTTGTATGAGTGACATAGCGACTTTTAAATTTATATACATAGAACGACGATAAACGCTCGCATTTTGACATGGGTTTACGATTTCGTAATGTCCGACACAAAACTTGAATTTTGAACCGTAACAGCAAAAACGATCTTGGACTTTGGAAGCTTACTTTTTCTACCCGGTACTCGAAGAGTAAATAGGGTGTATTGTTTTTGTGGTCGGTGAAATGTACGTAACGCACAGAAGCAAACGGTCCTATAAAGTACATATATATTATTGATCAGCATCCAATAGCTGTCTGTCTGTTCGTCTTTTTTGACACCTGTTTCCCAGAGACTTGAGATGTAGATGACAGATACCCGGGAGTTGGGGCTATCAAAGTTTTACAAAGTTTCAATGTATTTCGTTTTGTTGTTTTCTATGCTTTAGTTCTGGGGAACGGCGGAAAACGAAGTCAATGGAATATTTTGCCCTGCGGTCAGCGAAAATGATGTACAAATTATGTAAACGCCATCAAACAGAAGCGTAGAAAAACTGCAATTTCAAGTTCGAGGTTTTGCTGTAATTTGTTGTTTTTTTTTTATCGTTTTGTGTGATTTCCACAGCTTGAATGATTTCAGAAAACTGAAATTTGTTGTGCAATGTATGCAAAAACAAAGCAGTAGAAAACAATAAAAATCGATTCAAAGCGGAAAGTGAAGCTAAAAGTTGTAATTAATAAGTTTCAACCTCACATTACACATTGTTGTGCACGAGTACTTGGAATTTAAATAGATTTAAATGGCCATGGAAACTTCGGAAATCTTATTCTGAAATCTTTCTGTTGTTAGAAAACTCTAAGCAATTCAAGTTGAAGCACCAATTATGATAGGACTGAATCGTGTTTGATTGTGGTTTACGACCCTTATCTTTAATTAGACACATTTATGTTTTTATACTGAATTATTACTATTGAACATCTATTTTTGAAAGTTAATGATTATTTGTCGGTGTGTTGCGATATAATGGGAAGAGAATTACGCGATCGATAGCCCTAAATGAAGCGGCAATTTGAATTCTTAATCATTTGTAAATGATGTGGAAATTGTTACTCAGTTTGGTAAAATCTGTTGTTGTTTTAAGTGCTCGTTGCTTGACCTGTGACCGGATTAAAATTGTCTCTTTGTATGCAGTTACGCATAAGTCGTGTGTGTGTGTGTGTGGCTACTTAACCCTGAATGCCCATGATTCAGATCTGATTGAATCAGTCAAAATGCTTAGAGCTTTGCTCGTTTTATCACTTATCCTACATCACAGTACGAATTACAGTAATCATCGCTTAATGCGAACAATTTCCCTATTGTCTTAATCCGCACAATGTACAGATGTATTTGTACTCGTACTCGTACGATCTAAATAGATAGACCTCTCATCGGTGTAACCTTTGTGCTCAACACGCGATTGTCGGCTTGTGAGCTTGGGACCTGCTCTCTCTCTTGATCTCTGTTTTTGTGGCAACTTTGACCAGGGTAGTGCACGATCCATGATTTACGGACACACGTACGTACCCTGATTAGTGCACATTTTTGCACGGTGGGAACGCGCTCAAAGTTTAGTGTCCGGCCAAAGAGGCGGGAGCATTTAAGTAATGTCAAACTGAACAGTTTTGGGTTTTCATTCGATTACAATAACCTACAAACCGCAACCGTAGCCCACACTGACTTTCGCCTCTTTCGTGATGCCGTGTGGGTCTTGCTAGCTATTTGTGCTTACTTTGCTTCCATTTCTTGTTCCCCTTTAACCCAAGATAAAGAATATCTCTTTCATTCCTTTCTTTCTTGTCCTCTTCCACTGACAAATATTTAAATGCCGAATACTCTTTCTATATGCAAATATTTATATTTAACTTTATGCTTTCTGGCACTTCTCCTTCTTGGCAAACAAAACACGTATTGAGATGGTTTTCATTCGAGTTTGGCTTAAATGTGAAGGCGGGTGCGGGGTTCAACGGACTTCACACTAAGCGAGTTAAAATGAAATTAACTGAAATTTGGTGTTTATATACTCGGCGGATCACTTTGCATGGCCCTTTTTCCATTATCAACGTGAACTTTGTTCACTTGGCGATATTAAGTTGTTTTATCAGGATCGGCAGATTCTGAAGAACCAGATTGGTAAATCATTAGCCAGAACGAAACGGATAAACGAACTTTGGTCTTTGGCAGAAAAACCATAAAAGAACTTTCGTTTATTTTGTTATTTAATTAATTGGCAAAGCGCTTTTCTGTGATTCGATCGAAGGTCCCCCGCGACCTATGTCAATGTTTCTCTACCACCACGGAGAGCAAAGACCAAGAGAGAGAGAGAGAGAGAGAGTCGCACACAAGGAGAGAGATAGAGAAATAGAGAGACAGAAAGAGTGAGAGTGTTTGTTATGCAATAGAAATGTCTGTCTAATTTTAATTTTTGTTCTAGATATTCTCTTTGCCTACACTTTCTATAATTTGTTTCTTTATTTTCTTATCATCAGCGTTTGGGTTTCTTTTTTTGGCGAACATCCAAATAAGAAAACAAATCCAAAACGTAATAGAAACTTGTTTTTGGTTTTCTTTGGATGTTTGCTTTCGATTTCTGATTTGATTACAATATATTTATGAAGGTTAAAAGTAATTGAAAGACTATTGGATTGGATAGGGCTAATATCTATTTATAGAATTCAAATGGAAGTTTTTCCACTGCCCCAGATATGTATTTTTATGAATTGTTTAAACATTTGATTGAAAGAAACCAAAAGTTGAAATAATTTTACAAGCTTATTTTCACTTAATTAAGATTTTGTTCACACTTGAAATTTTGGAAAGTATATTTAAATGTAAATCAAAGCTTTTTATGTATTTATGTATATGTATGTTTACATCTGCAGATCATGGCCCTAATCTGTTCATGGTTGAGGTTGATTTTAAGTTTTTATTTTTTGCTTACTTTTATAGCTACATTCATACAGATGTCTTCTGTATATTGCGCTATGCAATTTGTGTATCCCATAATCTGTTTTGTTTACTCATTGTCACTACATTCATAAATGCATATTCCTGTGCTCTTTCCGCTTCCAGGGAACTAGCTCATCATCGGCAGCAAAAAACACCAACAGCATCAGGAGAAACAACAAATACACCAACTTATTCGGAAGAAAAATTGACTTAATTCCTCTGTTGTTGGTCCAACCGTTTGCGCCGTTAGAGACAGCCCGGCTTGCCCACGACACAAGAGCAACAACACACTGAAGCGGAAAGAGAGAGAGAGAGAGAGAGAGAGAGAGAGTGAGAAGTGTTTCTTTGTGCGTGCGTTAAAGGTCGCACTCTCCTCCCACTCACCTTCACCACCTGAAGTTCTGGGCAGACACTCATCCCGAAGATCGGACAAAGAGGAACGAACAAGACAAATCACACGGCAAGATGTTCATCGAAGATGATGCGCAGTAAGTAACAAATACCTACATACATATCATATGTACCTTTGTGTTTACCTTCATGATTGCTTTAATCGCTCTCCTCGTTGAATATGGCTATCTGTAGTACCTGTACTTGTAAGTTGCTCCTGGCATAGTGGTGGTGGTAATTTGGTCGGGGGGTCTTGGAATGCAAAGAACAAGACTAAAACGTAAGCTAATACCACTAGGTTAACTTCGGATGACATTGGCTCAATCGTTAACTTCCAATTTCCATCGAATTTACTCATTTGTAAAGAAGCTATCCGTTCGTTTAAGTAAAATTTGAGCAGGGATACAAATGCTTTTAGTTTCAGTAAAGTACGGATTGGGATCCAGAATATTCTACGGATTATATCGTATTTTATTATATTAAGCAATGAAAAAGTTGTACCTATGTTTTCGGAGTGTTTTTCCTGGAATGTGTAAGACCTACATTACAAATTCTTCTCCTGATGATAGATAATGCATAGTTCAAGCTTTTTGGGTATTTAAAAATCAATTCAAATAATTGAAACTTTCGCATTCACATTTATCATTTTAAACAATTAGCCGTGACTATCACTTAAATCAGTCATTCCATTACCAATTAAGTTCCACAAAATATTCATCGCCACTGACCCTCGGTGACCCCTGCGAGCGCATCGTGCTCGAGAAGTTGACGTCACATTGACGTGGTGCACAAGCCGCCAAGTTCAAGGACACAGAGAATATCATTCCATGATTTGCGCTTATCAGGCCACTTGTCTACGATCGCGTTATCAATTATTCAACGGTATTCTGCATTAGTGCGATCATATGTATGTATAATTATATATGTATGTTTGGGAACAATCAAGACGAGTGCTGCCATGCATGGATTCGTTTGTCGTTTGGTTTCCTCTTACTATAGTCGGAATATATGCAAATATAACAGATCGAGTCAGGTAGGAGCTGACAAAGCCAGGAACCAAGAGAGATTTAGATACAAAAATATAGCAGATATAAAACGAAAAAGAATTCACCCGGAAATTGCATAAATTTCTGGACAATTTGTCGCTATTTCTGGTTTCAGATAACTCCAAAATTAATCAAATTGATGAGTGGACTTAAAAATGGAACGTGCGATAGCTGAAAGTTGGTTCAAATAATTAATAATATCTATAAAAAAAAGAAAAGAAAAGTTAATGAAGTATCTCTATAGACTCTATAGTATAGCATAGACTGCATGAATAAGTAAGGAAGCATTGAATAAAGATCGCTGTTATAGCCACGCACCGCCAGACACACTTGATTTTTGTGACATATCAACATAAAGCTGGCGTAGTGGTGGCAACCATTGTTGTTGGAAGAAGTTCTAAATACCTATGGCTGTTGATAAGAAAGCAGACCTGGATAACCAAGCGGCGAGAGAGAAAGAGAGAGAGAGAGAGACGGCTAGCGTAGATACAACAAAAGAAAAAGCAGCAGACATGCAACCCATCTCCACGTTACAGGAGCAGCGCCACTTGCGAGAGGTAGAAGTTTCCGTCTGATAAAAAGTCGAACCCATTCCGGCGCTCTCCTAATGCTATCGCCTTTTCGAACAGCGTTTTCTGAGCACGCCGCCGAGCTGAGAGAGAGCGAGAGAGAGAGAGAATGGGTGGTGGGCGATCAAGTGAGTGAGTGAGTGAGTAGGCGGCGTGAGAGTGCGAACGAACGAATAATAAACGAACCCCTTTTCCGATTTTCCTACTTTCGGACTCAAGATTTGCCAACAGTGGCAGCAGGTGATATCAGTTTGTTTTCGGCTGGCGACTGTGCTACAACGAGTGGGTGGGTGAGTGGGTCTATTTGGCACTACTGGAGAAGGGTTCCAAATTCTTGCGGAAATGTATAATTCTTGGTTCTAGAATAAATCAATTGCATATCACTTTCTATGCAGCTGCAACTAATTTGTGTATTTCAATTACTCTTCCAGAATGGACAGCTTCTGGGTGCAGAGCGCAATTGGCGCGATCAAGGCGATCGCATTCGTGTATGATATCATAACCCTGCCGGTGTACTTGGTCCTGCAGAAGCCATGGAAACGCCGACAGGACTCGCGACGTGTGAAGGTGAGTTTACAGAGTGGGCACGGACCACACGACCACTCCACTCCCCCTGCATGTGTGTGTGTAATCAGACAATCGGCGCTGTAACTAGTATCTCTAGCTAGAATCGCTTTGAAATACTTTCGACTTTGCCCCTGGCCACCGCTCCAAAGTACACAGACGGTAGACGGACAGACGGACAGGTACTAGAGCGCCCTGGCTTAGTTCTGATCTGAGTGCATGTGCTTTTGAAACTAAACTGCACGCTTTATTATCAGTTGATTTCCACATTACTGCGCGTCACGCAATCCCTTGTGCACCCTGAGGCATTAGCTAATTCTCCCTCTGCCTTTGCCTCTGCCTCTGCCTTTGCCTCTAGTTTTGCCTCTGCCACTCAATCCACCTCCGATTCTATTTCTATTTCTGCCTCTGTTTCTGCTATCTCTCACTCTCTCTCGCTCCCGCTCTCTACATTTCCCCTAATCTAATGCCTGCCTACATATGTATGCTATGTATGCACGCTGACTTTTGATTTATTGACCCGGCCCGTTATTCATTATCTCTTGTTCGTTGTTGTAGTTTTGCTTTTATCAGAGATTCATTCGATTTTGTATGCCACTATTAAGCGTAGAGGTTTGTTTCCTTGCTGGCTGTCGAACATTAAATCATAGCATCATCAGTTTCTGATAATTGCACATGCTGTTACGCCATATAAAATGTGCTACGATTGCAGGCGGTGTCCTCCTGATAAGGCAGCCCCATGCAGCGGAAAAAACCTCAACATTTGATAAGCCAGAAAGGAGCAGGTGTGCGTAACAAATGTGGCAACGATTCAATTTGATTGTCAGACAGAGAGAGAGAGAGAGAGAGAGAGAGGAATAAATAAATATCTTCCTATGATTTTCTCTGTATCCCCTCGGCCGGTATCGCTTGTACAGCTGATGTTACCCAATCTAAGTTAAGAGCACTTTTGTCTGGCTTACAGCCTACAGCCTGATAAGATTTATGGGGGGCTATGGATATGGTCACAATCGCGTGTGCCGTACGTGTGGTAAAAGAGTTCCCACCTAGGAACGAACGAGTCAATCTTTACACATACATACTTAAGTAAGATATCAGCACAGGCAAGCATGGCTTGTGGTCATACATACATATATTGTATCACTCCTTGTATCCTTCCTTCCCTCCTACAGGCAAAGCCCATTAACCAGAAAATGTTGGTCGATGAGTCCAAGTACGCGCCGGATGACATTGAGGTTTAATTTCTGAAAATTCGTTGTTTTATTTTATTAAATAACATTTGTTGTGGAACAGTACACTGGCACACCCCCCCATAAACACACACACACACACACACACACACATACACACAAAAGAAAGCACAATAAATGTTCCTAGGATTTGGTGTTTCATGCAAAGAGTTGGTTTCCCCCTCTTTGGTGTTGGCCCCAGAAACATGTTATTTCCCCCCCAGGCAAGCCACACCTACCCCCCTTCAATCTCACATGTCTGTCTCTCCCTGTTGATCGCCCACACCCTGCCCACCCCAACCCCCAAACTGGCGTTCATTTGAGTCTAACTTTGAGATGGCATGAAAGTAATTTGCCCTACTCTTTCAGGCCAAGATCATCAAGAATGATGAGCACGAGCTGACATACCGGACCACGGATCCGCCCCGCGATGTGCACGTGAAAATGCTGCAGGAGAACATCGACACGCTGGAGAAGGTCTTCAATTACGTGGCGAAGACGCACTCGAGCAAGCGCTGTCTGGGAACGAGGCAGATCCTCAGCGAGGAGGACGAGGTGCAGCCAAACGGACGTGTCTTCAAAAAGTACAACATGGGCGACTACAAGTGGAGGACCTTCACCGAGGCGGAGCGCCAGGCGGCCAACTTTGGACGTGGCCTGCGAGAGCTTGGACAGAAACCGCGGGAGAATATTGTTATTTTTGCGGAGACACGTGCCGAGTGGATGGTGGCTGCCCATGGCTGCTTTAAGCAAGCCATGCCCATAGTCACCGTCTACGCCACCCTGGGAGACGAGGGTGTGGCCCACTGTGAGTTTATTTATTTTGATTTTACCATTTTCGTGTAATAATGTGGAAAAATGAATAATTGTTCGACAGGCATCAGCGAAACGGAAGTCACCACGGTTATCACCTCGCACGATTTGCTGCCCAAGTTCAAGACTCTGCTGGCCCTGTGCCCCAATGTGAACACCATCATCTATATGGAGGACCAGCTGCACAAGACGGAAACCACCGGCTTCAAGGAGGGCGTCAAGGTCTTGCCATTCAATCAGGTCGTCAAAATAGGACAGGACAGCAAATTTGGTGCGTTTCTAAAGGGACACATAGAGACACATTGGTAGTTGAAATTAGTGTGGGATAGGACTTACCCTCTTCTAGTTATCATCACAAGGGCGATGTACCATTGCTCCATGCGTTGCGACTGATTTTGATGTTGATGCTTTGTTGTCATCTTGTTCACTGTCCAGTATCTCTGCTGTCCTTCCGAGCACCATGCTGGGTGTAGTCAACTCACTGTAATAGCACCAGCTGTGCAAAAGAGAAGGGGGAAAGGGTTGTGAGCCATTAACAAGTTGGATAGATGAACTTCTCCTGTCGTTTCCTGCCTGTTGTCGCTATAGTTCAGGGACTCGACCATCAGCTGCGGCAACAGCTCCTCCAGCTCATGGGCGAGTGACACTTGCAAATCGGGGATCTCATCCACTGGCCTTGGCGCTGGCTCTTGCGATTTCTCAGTTTTGTCGATATAGCTGCGATATGACCGATAGGCAACCAGTCCACAGTACACGCCAAAGATCGAGATCAATAGATAGCAGGGGCTGGTCTTTGCTGATGTGGCCTTCATGAGAGCATTGCACTGCTCCACACATGTCAGCGGGGTCAGTATAATGAACTCTTCCAAACTGTTTGCCATTTTTTGGAACACGCTAAAATTTTGAGAGAATGTTTCTGTTTTCAAGCTATCTGTGATAAGTGACAGCAGTGGGCAGGCCTTCTACTAGACTTTAACTGATTAAACTTATTTTTTTTTGCTAACAGAGAGTGTGCCACCCAAGGGCGATGATATTGCAATTATAATGTACACTTCCGGATCAACTGGAACACCCAAGGGGGTTTTGCTGTCGCACAAGAACTGCATTGCCACGATGAAGGGCTTTGTCGACATGGTGCCCATCTATCCAGATGATGTGCTGATTGGCTTCCTGCCGCTGGCTCATGTCTTCGAACTGGTGGCGGAGAGTGTCTGCCTGATGACTGGCGTTTCCATTGGCTACTCGACGCCGCTGACCCTCATCGATACGAGCAGCAAGATCAGGCGGGGATGCAAGGGCGATGCCAGTGTCTTGATGCCCACATGCATGACTTCGGTGCCACTGATACTCGATCGCATCTCCAAGGGCATCAACGACAAGGTCAATTCAGGCTCGGCCTTCAGGAAAGCCCTCTTCAAATTCCTCTACCAGTACAAAGTCAAATGGATACAGCGAGGCTACAAGACGCCCCTCATTGACAAGTAAGAAGATTCGGAAATTTAACGATGTAAAGATCTGGAATTCAATGTTTCGTCTTATTTGCAGGTTGGTCTTCAAGAAGGTGGCTAAGCTGATGGGCGGCAAGGTGCGCATCATTATGTCTGGCGGAGCGCCACTCTCGGCGGATACACACGAACAGATCAAGACCTGCCTGTGTGTGGACTTGATTCAGGGCTATGGATTGACAGAGACAACATCGGGAGCCACTGTAATGCATGGTAAGTGAATGCAACTCGCTTTGAGCTCGAAGACGACTCTACTACTCTTCATCCTACTTTTTATAGAGAGGGACATGACCTATGGACGCACTGGTGGACCATTGACCGTGTGCGACATTCGTCTGGTCAATTGGGAGGAGGGAAACTATCGCATTACCAACAAACCCTACCCGCAGGGAGAGGTACTCATCGGTGGCGACTGTGTGTCCCAGGGATACTACAAGCTGCCCGGCAAGACCAATGAGGATTTCTTCGAGGAGGATGGTAAACGCTGGTTCAAAACCGGCGACATTGGCGAGGTGCAAACCGATGGCGTACTTAAGATAATTGGCAAGTCTCTCATCTGTCTTCAATGTGTTTTTAGCAGCTATCTTATACTTTGTGTTTCTCTCTCTTTGTGCAGATCGCAAGAAGGATCTGGTTAAGCTGCAGGCCGGCGAATACGTCTCTCTTGGCAAGGTCGAATCGGAGCTGAAGACATGCGGCATCGTAGAGAACATTTGCGTTTATGGCGATCCCACAAAGCAGTTCACCGTCGCGCTGGTCGTGCCTAACCAGAAGCATCTGGAGGATCTGGCCGAGCGTCACGGTCTGCAGAACAATACTTATGAGGAGCTGTGCTCGTCGCCTGTCATTGAGAAGGCCATACTCAAGGAGATTGCCGATCATTCGCGGAAATGTAAGTCGCTCATCAACCCCCTCCCCCATCTCTGCGGATACTAAATGTGTCGTTGGTTTTACTTGCAGGCAAATTGCAAAAGTTCGAGGTGCCCGCCGCCATTACGCTGTGCAAGGAGGTCTGGTCACCGGACATGGGCCTGGTGACGGCTGCCTTCAAGCTGAAGCGCAAGGAGATCCAGGACAGATATCAGCACGATATTAACCGCATGTACGCCTCATGAAAGTCAATGTACTAAATACCAACCAGCAGCAAAAGCAACGACAACAACAACAACCAGCATTATGAAAGCTTGAGTGGAGGAGATGCAACGAGGCACAGTACCTAGTACCACTACCACACACAGAGAGAGAGAGTCACCAACGACACGACGATAAGCATGCATACCAAGTCCGAAAACCAAATTAGCTCAAGAGCCGAAAGATCTACAAGCCAAACCAGAAACACACCAGCCAATGCGCAATTTCTGCATGCAAAGGGAGAGTTTTAATTGATATGTGTATATTGTGTGTTTTCTTTGATTTGAATTGATTTGTATACTTGCTCTTAGCCTAATAATAAAGGGGAAATCTTAGAAGCTGTTGGATTTGGGTTGGCAGCAATGCTTTGTGTCGGTGCTCAGAATGCTGTTGAACAGATTGACAATGATGAAGAAGATTTCAAATGTATGATGACCGAATGCCTATGATAATGATAATGATTATATTGATGAATATTATGAATGATGAATGAGAATCACAATGAGAATGAGAATATATATTGTGTAATGTACAGTTTTCGGTTTTTAGCACACTCTGTGGCTAAACACACAATTTGCATAAACAATACTTATTTTTATAGAAAATAATAAAGTACGCTTAAGTGGTTGCCTATTAATTATGTATATACACACACACACACACACACACACACATACACGTTTATATATACCCTATATATATAGTGTACTTCTTTATAATAAGTTCGATGTATGGAAATCCTGAAGTAATGAATTGTAGCAAAAGCAAAACCTAAGCGACTTGATTATGAATTAAAATATAAAATGCAACAAAAAAACAAAAACAATATAAAACCAGCTTAGCACACATTTTCCTTGGCAAAAGCTTTTCTACACACACACACACACACACACATCAAATGAAGCAAATGTGGAACCCTCCATAAACTATTTTTAAACACAAATCAAATGGCAAACAAGGTTACAAACGGCAAACGTAATATATATTTTAGCTCAATTTAGTTTAGCGAAAAGCAAAAGGGCCACAACAAATGTATTTTATGAAGTTCATTATGTCAAAAGCAAAAGCGATAACTCAAAATTCAAATGCAACTAATGAAAGACTTAGTACTAAAACAAAAAGCAAAACAAAACAGAACTCAGATGAAGAGAATACACCAACTGGGCCAACAAATGCCTAAACTACAAAGTAAAGCAAAGTATCCATTTGTTTTAAATGTGCAAGAAGATTTTGGAATACATTTTAGTCATATTTTTAGTTGAACTATCTATGTACGACCCTAGGGAACGTCTGGCAATTTTTTGATGGGAAACGTTGCGTTTCCTATTAAACAAATTCATTTAGTTTGGAATTTTTACAAAGTGCGTGAGTGGGGAATTGTTTCATAATTGACATTTATTTTCGTGTTAAATATGGAATGCTAATAAACAAACATTTTAATGATATCTGGATGAGTGGCAAGCAACGCAAAATATTTAAGAACCTTTTCTACACATAAGTATCATTGCATTATTATACTTTTGATCGTATAAAATACTGAGATAATTCAATAAAAACCGACAATTTTTAGTTTTACTTGAAGAGCAACCAATTTCAAATATGGATGGGGTGGACTTCTCTAGGCCTTTCGTGTGGCTATCTACAGCAGATAATAGTGTGGTACATCGACTGGCATGCAGCTGCAGCTTTCGGCTTTTCCCACTTCTGACAAATCAGTATTCTTTTTGAGCGCATTTTGAAAATGTTAATTTAACACATTTTACCCCAAAAGCCAATGGTTGGGCTCCCGTTTCCTCACAGCAAGGCAAATAGTCGCCGGCTGTCGTTAATTTGCACTGTGCAAAGAGCTCCGGAGATGCGTTCATCCGCGTTAATCTGTCTGAGCCCCTGACTTATTCACTCGCACTTGTTTGCCAATGTAAATGACACAATTAGCACGCCCTGCTGCGCAGCCTTTCACTCACTGCAGTGTTTACTGTAGTCGAAGTTCCACTGTGCTGTGTGCTCTGTGCTCTGTTTATTTGTTCCCCCGCGACTTTGTGCATTTTTATAGCATTCAAAAAAAAAGAGAGGTGGAATTGTTAATGGTCTGCTGGCCGAAAGTTCAGCACTTGAGTGGAAGAACCAGGGCCAGAGGCACAGGCTCTGTCCATTTATAATACAGGGGAGTGCGTTGCACCTTTAGGCGCACCTTTGGGCCAGCGCCGGCCCAGGCTCAGACACTCTGAAGTGGCCGCCAGTACCAGCTCCTACCACTGCGGCCAGCGACATTCACTAATGCAACAAATAAATCATGGAAAATGGGAGTATAGGCGGAGCTACCACAGAAGTTTCCATTCCTGTGGGTCGACATGCTAAAGCTGTGGCACAGAGACTGCATGTAACACGAAAAAGTGCAAATCCTGGACAGGACAGAGCATCTTCTAGTCTAGATGTGCCTGGGCACACGTCTGCTGCTTTTCCATTCGACATTTTTTTTACTACTGATGCTGACCGAAGAACCGGAGACCGGAGGCGAATTTATTGCACTTTTTTGTGGATCTTTGAGTACTTATGGCATACAGGGGATTAATTTAGACTTTGCCCTGTCACAAAAACCGAGTGAAGCGCACAAAAAGCTGAAGACTGTCATGGGGCTCGACTCCCGGCCGTATCATATGCAATGGCACTACTGAAATTAATAGACTGTGACAGGAGAAGGAAAAGACGGAGGAAATTGCGCAGAAGAAACGCTTAGATTTTCATATTTATACGAGTATATGACGCTCAATGGATTCGGGTGATGGACAGTCAGAGACAGGCTGAAGAAGCGTATAAAAAATAGTACTTTTTTCAGACAGAGCTGGGCGGGGAAAGGGGTTATTATTTGGCATTATATTTGCCATGTGTAAGTAGTTGCTATCTAAATCACAATTTTATTTCTCTCTTGGCAAAAGCATTGGAAACCGAATCCAGCTTTAACTGAAAGTGCAATCGAAATGCACTCAAAGTAGATGGGGATATCTCTATCGGAATCTGTAACTGTGGCTGCAACTGCAACTGTATCCACAAGTAGACTTGCAGCTGTGTCCTGCAGTTCGTTTGATGCATTCGACAACTTATTCGTAACTTAGTCAAATGGGAATTTGCATGCGGGTGAGCCACAGCCACAGCCACAGCCAGCTCTCTGACCTTTGGGCCCCTCTTCTATTTGCATTTAAACTGCAAATTCAAAATCGATTGGGGTTACATCTCTACCATGCCGCTGAACAATGAACAAAGGTTCGTCTGTGGGCGTTGAATATGTTATGGTCTGGGTGTTTACCTAGTCAATTTTGTAATCCAGCTAGTACTTTTGTCATGTTGTAAGTATTTACGCAATACATACGTTTCATTTCCGCACGGCCTTGTCTAACACATCCGCCCGATATGGCGTCCGATTTCCGTTTTGCGCTTCAGCGAGCAACGGACGCTTCACTGAGATTGACAGTCCGTTCGATGCCGACTGTCTGTCATTCCCCCTTTACATCACGTGTGTGCCGGGTGTGTCTGTGTGTGGCCTTCAAAGTGAAAGTATACGTTCTGCTGTCAACTTTTCCAGTACAAGTCGAGCAAGAGAGCAGGAGCAGGAGATCATTTTATCCCCCCTCAATCACTTTCGATGTCATTGACGGCACTCTCACTGATGCTGAATTAACTTGCATTTTCTTTTCACTTTTAAAACCTTTAACTAAAGATTTCCTGTTGCCGTTTTTCTTATTCTGTAATATAAGTTTCATACGTAGCAGAGCTCCATGTCTGATTAAGCGAAAATATCCAATTGCTCTTTGATTTTGTCCTACAAGTACGAGTATTTACTGCTCCACGTGCCATGTGCCACATGTAAAGTAAAGCAAAGAGTCGCCCCGAAAGCTAACTGCTGCGCTTAACATGAATTCTTCACGGCATGTTGCACATTTTGCGAATGTTTCCAAGTTCAAACGGCTGTGAAAATGAACACGCGTTGCCCCTTGCACCGTCCACCGTCCACGGACTGCAGGGAATGGGCAAGACACTCCACACACTTTCTGCAACTATTTGAGGGTGCCAGAAGTACCATTGGAGGGGCAGCAGTTAGAGCTGCTCTCGAGACTTTTAATTTCTACAAATTTGGATATAGACATCTAGGTGGAAGCACTGCATTTGCTGAGTCTAAAGTTGTTTTTGGCAACTATTCATCTCTGTACGATTTTAGTGGCATTTAATCTCTAGAGTATTAAACATGGAGTACAGGCAGTAATGAGGGGGAAATCATCGCACGTTCGCATCTGCCCAGCTCTTCTATCTTTCTCTCTCTCTCAGATAACTAACGGTTAGATTGGGACAGCCTGCAATGCGCAGTCGCACAGAGAGAGAGAGAGAGAGAGAATTCTACAGAGCGTTGAGTCGAAAGCTCGCTGCAGTCGCAATTGAAACGAATCGAAATCAAAACATGTTTGCCCCAGGACTCACTGTTTATCCCGCCCCACAACCGCACACATCCCCTCTCAGCTTATTTGTTTCGATTCGAAGATTTCCTTAGATGTATGCGGGGACATTTGATTGAATTTTTATTTGACTATTTGACTGTTGGTTGTGTGTTTCTCTGTGGATTTACTGTCTCCATTTCCATCTCCATCCCCTTCTTATTGTTGTACAATTGAGGCTCCCATCTTGTATGATGGGAATGGAATTGGCTTGTGTCTGTGCACAAATAGCTACAACGTACGTGAGTGGATTTTGGTACTCCAACCTGGAGTTCGCCTTCTCGTTTGTCCACGTGTTTGCGTGTATTGTCTGCTGCCAGAACTTTTGGCCAGTCGAATGGTTGAGTAGCCGCATCAGCAACCACTTGACGGTGAAGCAAAGCCGACCCTGACCTACTCACACACAGCACTCACTGGGATGCCAAGTCTCTCTTTTTTCACCCCACTCGTTCGCTGCGGGTATCCTTCCACTCGTTTGTACATATGCATTTATGTCATGTGTGAATTGAACTTAGCTATTTGCATATTGCGTATGGCCTTCAGAGCCATGCGGAGATACGAGCACAGCCCAGCCGCATGTCACTCAATCTTGCCATCCCATTTGACTGGCAGGAACTTGCTCTGCCCCCATGGAACAATCGCTGGAAAAGTGTCGGGGAAAAGTGCAATTGGCATAATTAACCGACTGTGGTCTGTCCTTTTGTTTCAAATTTCCTCATTACTGTCTTTGTTGGGTAAGTGCCTGTCCAAAGCTATAGTCTCAGCAAGTAAATCTTCATTTAAATCTTGTATTCATATCTGATTTCACACATCTTCAGCTGCATCATTCAAGAGCGTTGTGGCAGGAATGCAATGGTGCAATGGCTGGACAATTCCCAACACCTGACTGTGAGCAGGGAGAGCCCATTGCGTAGCAGGACAGACA